TTTTTTTCAATAAAAAATTATATTAAAAAAATATATATACAAACCCTATTACATGTATATACAATATACAGTTTTCAATGACACGGTAACATGCTGAAAAACTTGCTGTTGGGCAGTTTCATCATTTTTAAACACCAGAGTGCATTTAAACAGACTTGGTTTTATATATATCACAATATATATAAACACACATATTTTTTATACACACACACTTTTCTATCACACAACAGTGATGTATGAACTTCCTAAAATGACATTTTCTCTCTCTTACGTATTCACATCCATACATTTAAAACACCACACTTCCCTCAATAACTAGACCTTTCATTTCCCAAATGTGAACACCACCTGACTCAAGGATATGGCTACAGGAGTATTTGCATATCGCTTTTTCAAGGAAGGTAAAGAGCTCTAAGTAAAGAATATAAAAAGGAAGAACAGATCTACATACTGGTCTGCTGAAAATGAGAAGTGCGTGGCTTTATGAAAAGTAGCAAGAACAGAATGGACAGAAACTATGAAGGAAGTGAAGCAACGTGAAGGACCAGGAACACTGGCACATCAGCTCCAAATAGGTGGGGAAGTTCTGTCTGTTTTAGAGGCACAGTGAATACACATTATAGTCCCTATGACTGTAATAAGAAAAAAGGAGGGAGATAAGGATTTATTCATCAGTCATCTCAGTGTGAAGGAACTGGTACTGAAAAAGGAACAGAGATTACTTCCTCTAAACTCCTCTGTATTATTGTATAATAAAGATCATGTATTATGTTTTAACTTAAAAGTCAAGGTATGTTTTTTTGGTGAGGGAAGAACTGACAAGAACACATACTGTGTTTTTTTTTTTTTTTAATCAATCACTTACTATTTTTAAACTACTCTGTAGAATCAAATTGAAAACAAAGATCAGAAATTACTGCTGGGTATTGGAAGTCTGCATACATTTAGATCCACATGGGAAACCGCCAGGAAGAAAGTGAGCATGACTTGGACCTCTCTATTCTAGTATGCCAGGCCATTGCTCTGCCCACTGAGGTATAAACTATAAACTTTCCATTCTATATCCTTTTATGTCCAGAGCTTTCAGAATCATAGTTACTGATTCTTCAGGTAATACTGAGAGCAAGGCAAGTAAGCTGAAAGGGTGTATGATATGCCTTAGGATGATAACAAACTTGCCTTTCTAGAAACAGGCTACCCACAGGCCACTCGCTCTGTCCAGACTTCTTAGTGTAACAGATCCATTATCACAGCACCATGTAGTTGAGGAATTACTTCTAAAACCCAACGGCCTTTAATTCTACTTCGTATTGGAGTTACTACATAGGCAGACACAGGTCTAAAGCTTACTTGTGAGATCTCTCACAGTTGGCAATTACATTCCACATCAAATAAAAAAAGGAAATAGTGTCTATTATTTATAGTGTAGGCACTGAGTAGTTTTCTACAGAGCAGGTCTAGACATATGACTGGAGCTTCCTCAAAGCCAAGAAACCAAGTCATACACTTCTTTTGAAGTGTGTATCTTCTGATATCTAACAGCGTTTCAGTTTCAACTTTTCGAAGTTTTCCAAAAGGAAATGACAAAGGGGAAAATCTGAGCTAAAAGTAGCAAAGTAAAAGTTAATTACCTGCACTGGCTCCAGACACTGCTTTGGAAATGGCACTGCTGGAAATTGCTCTGTTTCGCTTCATTATTTCTTCAAATTCAGCTTCACTCACTGTAGAGGGTGGAGGGCCTGAATCTCGGCTGCAGAGAGATAATACCATGAGAGATTGCCCACATCCTTTACTACTTTCACCATATTCTATAGTACTGTTATTCAATTCTTCTCTAAGCTATTTCTCAGATGTTTTATATGTTCATTTTTCTTCAAAGACAGGATTTATATCATATGAATTGATAATTTTGGCTTGACTCAACAGTACTAATCACTGTAGCATCTGCAGCAGCCCTTTATGGCACCAAGTTTAATCAAGCTGGTTAAAGGAAGTTATGAAAAATATGATTTGGCTGGGTAGTTAAGATGAAAACAGAAAACACTAAATAAAAAACACTGATGGAGCAGGGGAACTAAATTAACCAATAAAGTGCCTGCTAGGCAAGCAATGAGAACCTGAGTTCAAATGCCCAGAACCCATGTAAAAATACCAGGAATGGTGAAGCATGCTTATAATTCCCGGTGCTGGGAAAGTGAAGACAGGTAGATCCCTGGGGCTCACTGGCTAGCCAATTCAATCTACTTGGTGAGCTTAGGCCAGTGAAGCCTTTCTCAAGCAAGGTGGACAACAAAATTGAGGATGACACCAAAGGTTGTCCTTTGGCTTCCACATTCAAGTATACACAGGACACATGCAGCTGCACACACATGCACTTGCATATACAGGCATGCAAAACAAACCTTTGACAGATACTAATCTATGTTCCATGACTCAACATCACAACAAGATTAAAGAGGAAAATAATCAGCACTCAATACTCCTTCATTTAAAATAATGTCTAAAAAACTATCTTTTTTCCTATTCTTTTCGGTTGTTTTTTTAAGATAGGGTTTCGAAAGACAGTAACCCTGGCTGTCCTGGAAGTCACTCTGTAGACCAGGTTGGCCTGCCTCTGTCTCTGGAGTGTGTGTGCCACCACTACGCAGCAAAATACTGTTTACTAATTTGAGTTAGAGGCCAATCTGGTTTACATAGTGAGACCCTGTCAAAACCAAACAAATAAAAAACACTGTCTACTATCCTGGCTCAAATCTGCAGGGAAGTACAGTTTTTACCTGCCATGGTGGTTATAGGGTGTAGAGGCCTTCATGTAAGTATCTGGTGGAGGCCCCACTGTAGCATTTGGTGGGGGGAAGAAGGCTGGATTGAGGTGAAGGGCTGGTGGAATGGCCCCAGGGGGAGGTACAGCCAGATGAGGAGGTAATCGAGGAGGGGGAGGCATGAGATGCTGGTAGTGGATACCAGGAGGAGGAGGAGGGACACCAAAGCTTGAGGAGAGAGGTGGTGGGGGTGGAATTGGGGGTGGGGGCAGACCCATCAGGGGAAGGGCTGAAGGAGGACGGTTAAAGTAGGGCAACACGCTGGGGGGCTTATCCACACGAGCAGATGAGGGTACAAGGTTCTCAGAGGGAGTTGCCCGTCCATCAGCGGAATCACTAGAATCTCTGGAGTGGGCCCGTGGAGGTATTCCTGCAAAGCAAAGCAGAGCTGATGTTACTGCCCAGGCAGGCTTTGGACATAACAACAGGACCAGCTCATCCCTCAACAAGTCATCAGGCACCACACTGAAGAAGATAAAGCAGCTGAGAGAAGAAACAAATCATTTGGTGCCTTTCCATTGGCCCCCCAGTGGAAAGATTAGAAGAATCTTCTTTAAGACAACTCTAAAAAGCAACATGATTCGTAAGTCCTGCATGTCAAAGGATGTTCTCATCTAGGATCCTCATAGTTTTTAGAACACATTCAACCTTTAAACTTGTTTCCTATTTTCAAATACACACATTCCAAACAACCCATGAGAAAATGATGTTGAAGCATTCTCAGTGATGTTCTGCTGGATTCTATCTGCCTTGAAATCCTACATCCCCCAGAGTTCGGAGATTCTTAAGGCTATTATAAGTTGACCTTCTTTATTATGCTATACTCTAGAAACATTCTCTTTGCCAAAGAACTCTGGTCAGAGAACTGAAAAAGCATGGGAAAAGCAGGAGACAGAGCCATTCTCTATCTACATAATTTTCATTGAAGCTAGCTCAGCCTTCTAAAAGTAGACCCCAACAGAATGATAGTATAGCCTTAAGAGTCATGCAGGTAGAAAGAAGCTTAGCAAATATGGAGGGGGAGAATGCTTTTTAAACTAGACCTTACAGTCAAGGCCAAGCCTGAGACAAGCCTATGGTGGAATCAATTACAATGACAACCACCTTGACTTCTTCACTATGAGATACTGCCAATCTGACACAGGCCCTGTCTGTTTTTCATGTTTCAAACATATGACAGTTTGTTCCTTTCTCAAGTTGTTATGAACTGAAGAGGTTTAAAAGCAAGTGCAGTACTCTGTAACATTAACCTCTTAGGTACTGTTCCATACTGGCTTGTATATTTGGTTACAAGTCCTCAGAGAAGCAGTCATTTTTAAGCAGAGGAAGTCCACCAGCTTTAGTCTTTCCAGCAAAGAAAAAACAGCACAAGGAAAAACCAGAAGAGGTAGAAATACTAATCTTAATACAGCTGTAAAGAGATGCATTTTGGGGAAACCACGTGAAGGTCAAATTATACAAAAACTCTGAAACAGAAGGGACTTGAAAATGTAAGTTGTCAAGGAAGCTAAGTGTATGCTTTTAATCCAGGGCAACAAGCTCATCCACCCAGCTGTCAATACAAAGGATAAGGGCGATTGTTTCTATTATATAGAGGCTCTATTTCCACATGAAGGACACACCCAATTAATACAAGAACTACTGTTTTAGAGCTAGGTATAAGCAGTGACAGCAGGTATGTGACGAAATGTTGCTGCCACCACCTTTCCCTAGTAGTGGAAGAAAAGGAGGTTGACTATTTCAGGCAGGGTCTTACAGGGTAAGCTGCACCCTGTAAGATTAGCATAAGTCAAGATTGGTTTTCAGGTTTAGAAGTCTGATTTTAATAATTCACCAGGGAGTAATCACACCCCAGGAGATTGAATAATGCCAACCAAACTCATAAGAAACTGAAACGCAAACCAAAGTAGTAATTTATTAGTTGATAATGACAAACATTTACTGCCAAGCCAACTGGAATACTTGTAGGCTGGTCAGTGCAGTCTCTTTCCAGAAGGAAAGCCTCACTAGTAAACCAAGGTAATATCAGAAGGTGGTTTGGGGAACAGAGTCAGATTAAAGGGAGTAAGATGAACCTAAGGGAGCAAACTAACACAGAATGCTGCATTTCTAAAAAATTATTTTTAAAATTTTATTATGTGTATGGTAATTTGCCTGCATTTATGTCTGTGTACCACACATATGCAGGGTCCACTAAGGTCAGAAGAGGGCACTGGATCCCTTGGAACTAGAGTTAGAGACAGTTGTGGGCTTCAATGTGGGTGCTGGGAATTGAAACTGGGTCTTCTCAGAGAGCAGCTATTCTCTTAACTGCTGAGTTATCGCTCCAGCTCCAAATAATTCTCCCCCACCCCCAACCAGAGACAGTGCTTTCTGTGTAGCCCTGGCTATCCTGGAACTCACTCTGTAGAGCAGGATGGCCTCAAACTCAGAGATTCAAGTGTCTCTACCTACCAACTGCTAGGATTAAAGGTGAGTACCACCACTGCCCGGCTGCATTTTTTAAAAAACTAATGTGATATATTCTTGCCAACCAACTAAGTAGTCAATAACTGTTTCCTTTCTCTAGGACAACAATGGAGAAACAATGCTTAATTTTTACTGCCTAACACTTGTTTTGGTTGAATTTTACAGAGCACTCCACATATACACTCATGATAATACCACAGCCACCTTTGTAAACCTTAACTACACTCAGTGTGTCTGCTTTTTGAAAACTCAAAAGAACCACATCTTATCTAAAAAAGCAAGCCCATTCATGGTTTATTCACTTATGGCAGAAATAGAACTGACAGTTGACAGGAACTTTAATCATTTTTCAGTTCCGATGGAAAAGAGGCCCCGAGCAGAGAACTGACTTGTTCAAAAGGTCACAAGAGTCAAAGGCAGTACCCACTGACAACCTGAACCTGATTCCCAGGATTGTGCTGTTTACACAAATCTCACTCTTAGGTCTACCCACTTATTATGCCAACAAGCCATACCCACCAGGACCCTTCCCCCAAATACTCCACATCAGTCTGAGCCCACGCAACACACCTCCCCCCATCATACAGATGGTCTCCACGTACCCCCTCTTGGGACTCGGACGCACTCACGTTTCCGAGCCTGCGCCTCAAACTGTGATAAGTTCTGCCGGGTGGCCGGCCTCACATCCACTTTTTCTCCATTAAGAACTTTTCCTGGCAAGAGTTCCAGCAATTTATGGACAGAATTTTCAGAGGCTACCACCACCTCAGCATACCTGGGGGAACCAAGTAAAAAGAAAAATACTGAGACACTGGAAAAGGAAAAAAAAATTCTATTTGACAAAGAAAAAGGCACCTTGCTAAATTAAATATATATATATATATATACACACACACACACACACACACAAAATCAACAATAAGAAGGGGCCACCCTATATGCTTCCTGTTTTTTCTTATTTTTTGGAATTTAAAATCAACATTCTTCCCTTCAGCAGATGGATATTCAACTTCAGCCTACCTAGGTTCTCAATCTATGGCAATTTGTCAAAAACCAAGGCAGTAAACTAGGCTGGGGTGGAAAGGGGTTGGAATCCAAGTTCAAATATATCACAAAGCTGTTACTCTAATAGTCACAAACTAAAGGAGGTTCCCCAAACCCAGACCTCACCCTTTAGACTGGCCATTTGCACGGTTCTCTGCAAATTTCAATTCCACCACATCATAGACTCCTATAGAGCGAATAACCTGGATCAGCTGTTGGTCTGTAGTCCACTGGGGCCGGCAAGATGGAAAAGGGAGAAACGTCAATAGCTACAAGCCTGATACCCACCCACCCAGATTTCCCAAGTCCTGTTCCCAAATCTATGACTCTAGCCATAACCATGACCACCCACAGGAAACCCTAAAGTCCAGCAATATTTCAATCAGTGCAGGCTTTTGTCCTGAACTCTAAGCCCATCTAATCCCACAACCCCTATGTTTGGGAATTAAGATTGACATTCATTTTAATTTTGACTGACATATGGGCTGGTTGATCATCAGATCAGATCAAACAGATTGTTAGCAACTTTAATTATAGATGTAACAGTCTAGAATTGACCAGCCAGGAACTTTCTCATTAGTATATATACATTTCCTGATTTGGCATCCCCACCACCAGCCCAAAAACATGTCACACAGTTAACTTTTACAGAATCGTTAACACATATCCCAAGTACACTAGAGCTACCAAGGTCTTTAATCCCCATCACCCACCATTATCACAGGACCATCTAATGACCACCAAGAGTTCAAGGTGTTCACTCTGAAATCTCGTCCCATAGATGACCCTGCTAGACATAAAGCCCCAGGGTCAGGGGCAGTAATAAGATGGCAGAAAAGGCAACTACCCACTTAATCAATGCTTTCTTCGGCACCAGTACGTCCTCAGGATAGTTCTCTTTCAGAGATCAATCCAACCTGATCCCAGGAAAAAGAAATCCAACCCCATCAGAGCACAAAACAGTGCAACAGTGGTTTCTGAAAATGCCATCACCTCCCAGTGCTCTCCCTCCAGCCCACCCATAAGACTTCTGGTTATCCTTGCTTACCCAGGAGAAGCTGCCTACATAGACAGCTGCTCGTCTACTCCGCAGGCCACTATATGTATACAGGATTGCAGGGGTCTTGTTGTTTGGTTTGGGAGTTGGCTCCTGGCGAACAGGAGGGGGTGGTTCAGTGCTACTGCTTCTGTCATCTGAAGGCTGTGAGGTAGCCGTCAACACATCATCATACAGGTCAATCTGATCTGTATTGTTGAACTCCGAGTCCTAAAAGAGGAGGGGCTGACAATGGAGTCTTCGAACTTTTCAGTTTCCTTCTGCTTCATTCTAGTTGACTTAGAAGCTGTAAATGCTTTGTAAAGCAACGCACAAGATCTCCCTGTCCCATTCTAGAAAACGGTAACAAAGAATTCCTGATGTGAAACTCTTCATTGCTTATGAGTTTCTAAGACTATTTGTAGTGTGCAAGTTTCTGACCTTAACCTCCTGTGAGGATCACAAGGCAAATGGTGAATAAGCAAACAAACCACTAATGAACAATTACAACATGTGCTACTATCATCAATTGATGTCACACTCAAAGACCACATCTAGGATATATTAATAAAAATGTATTTCAGTAACAGATTCTATACTATTATTGCATGTATAAGAGTACATTTATTTAGAAATATAAAGTAAGGGGAAAGAATGTTAAAGTGAGTAGGCAACAAAATGCAAGACAAAACACTGAGTTACCCTTTGGTTTATACAACTGATCTAGGGAAACTTTCAAGCTCCTAGAATACAATCTCAGCTTCCTAATAACCTTCTAAGAAACAGGGAGTAGAGGATTGGGGATATAGCTCAGTTGTAATAGAGTGCTTGCCTTGTACACAGAAGGTCCACAGTATTTATTCATCATATATCAGGTACAGTAATTTTCCCTTATAGCTTGAGGAACAAAAAGGACATGTGCCTGTAATCTTAGCATTTGGGAGGCAGGGGCAGATCAGCAGTTCACAGCAGGCTTCATACAGAGTTTGAAACCAGCACAGGCTGCACCAGATCAACTTAAAAAGGGGGAGGACAGGCCAGTGAGATGACTCAGTGGATGAGTTCAATTATCAGGACCCACATGGTGGAAGAAAAGTTTTGTCCTCTGACCTCAACATACTTGTCATATACAAATGTAAAAATATAAGTAAATCACCAAAATCTCCTCCTCCTAAAAGGACTCGATGACTCTATCTTGTTCAATGCTCTAATCCTCAGAAACCACTACACTTAACTCTCCATATCTGTTAGTTTTCCATCCAGACAAAGCCAGCTAAATATCAGCTGAAAACATCCTTTAAAACCTTTTTTAAGACAGGCAGAAGAGATAGCTCAGTGGTTAAGAACACTGGCCACTCTTCCAAAGGATCAGGGTTTGATTCCCAGCATCTACTGGCAGCTCACAACTCCAGATGCAGGGGATGAGGTGCCTTTCCCTGGCCTCTGAAGGCAATGCATGTACATGGTGTATAAACACACACACAGGCACACACATTAAAATATGTATTTTTTTTACTTTTTTTAAAAAAAAAATCAATCTATCTATCTATCTATCTATCTATCTATCTATCTATCTATCTATCTATCTAGTGTACAATGTTCTGTCTGTGTATATGCCTACAGGCCAGAAGAGGGCACCAGATCTCATTACAGATGGTTGTGAGCCACCATGTGGTTGCTGGGAATTGAACTCAGGACCTTTGGAAGAGCAGGCAATGCTCTTAACCGCTGAGCCATCCCTCCAGCCCCCCAAAATATGTATTTTTTTGTATATGCATAAAAGTATAAGAAAAAATTCAAAACCACAACGTAGAACTCTTGCTGAGCAAAAGACAAGACTTGTCTTAGCCAAGGTGAAATAATCATTCTCATAATCTGAAGATTTTTTTTATTTTTTTTATTTTATTTTATTTTTTTGGTTTTTCGAGACAGGGTTTCTCTGTAGCTTTGGTGCCGGTCCTGGAACTAGCTCTTGTAGACCAGGCTGGCCTCGAACTCACAGAGATCCGCCTGCCTCTGCCTCCCGAGTGCTGGGATTAAAGGTGTGCGCCACCGCCGCCCTGCTCTGAAGATTTTTTGTTTAAAGCATAGGGAAGGAATGTATAAAGATTTTCTATGCAAAAATACCTCCTCCAAGTGGTTCTGAGCATGCTAGGCAAGATCTCTACCACTGAACTGTATCTTTTTTCTTTAAAGTTTGAGATAAGGTCTGGCTAAGTTATTAAGACTGGTCTTGAACTTGTGATCCCTTTTTGCCTCAACCTCCTCAGTAGCCAGGTTTACAAGCTATACCATCATACCCATAATCGTTTTAGTTTTTTATATTTAAGATTTAAGCACCTGAATATTTTGTTAAAGAGAAAGATTCTGCGACCAATCCCTGAAAGATATTAAGAACTAGACTTTATACCTCCCACCAAGGCTTTTTAAAAGTGAAAGAGATTTTCAAATGAAATGTAAAGACAATAAAGAAATAACAATATTTTATATATTCAATGCCAGAAAACTAGGATTCCTTTTATGCAGATCTGGGATTCAGAGATGTACCTAAAAGTTGTAAGACAAATGCCATCACTGAAAACTGGCTAGATTAAAAAAAAAAAGTCAGTGAGTCAATAACATTTCAACTTATAGAGCAAACACATCAGAGGGAATCTTTTCATACTGTTAGCTTAAAGGCAATCAATGGACTCTTTCAAAATCTCTAAAAGAACAAAACAGGCTCAATCCTATAGGACCTTGTTTCTGTAGATTACCACTTCAGAAAGAAAATCAAATGAATCTGAATGTTCCAAGTTTCAATGGTCTACCTGGGCCATGAAACCACAGTTAAAAAAAGCTAGTGGTAGCTGGACATGGTGGCACATGCCTTCAATCCTAGCATTCAGAAGGCAGAGCCAGGTTGATCTCTTGAGTTGGAGGCCAGCCTGGTCTACAGTGAGTTCCAGGACAGCCTGGGCTAACGAAAACCCTGTCTTGAAAAAACAAAACAAAAACCCACCTATCCTATAAAAGAAATACATCCACATTTTATAGGTGGTAATGCTAAAAATATTTATTCTAAGTTTAAACTGGAAATATGCAATCAACACTGAATAAATATCTCAGCAACAATTTTGTGTTCAAGGACACACACACACACAAAGCCACAGTTATCTCATGAAATGTCCTATTAGGAGTTTGAGTTTGCCCTCTAATACACTCAATGTTCCTACTTTCTATCTCTTTCTTGGTATCTGACCCAATGAAGTAACTAACTTAAATACATTTTTCTCAGTGCAACCATTTTGACTCTTGGTTACTTTTTTTTCCATTAGAAGACCACATCAATTTTGGGCCTCACGCTTACATCTCCACAGTTCTCATCTTATACCTCTCCCCCATCACTGTTGCCCCCTTATTCTGCATTGTTACTATCACTGTTATTTTACAACTTTTGTTGTTGTTGGGAGAAGGGGAGAATTCTAACAGTTTCACATTGTAGCCAAGCTGGCCTCAATGTGTAGCAATACTGCCCTAGTCTTTGGAGCACTCAGCTTATGAATGTGTATCACCACATCCAGCTAATATCACTTTTACTTTTAGCCACTAGGAATGACACCAATTTTCCAGCACAGGGATTCCCACTCCCCCAACAACTCAATACCTCTGGCAGTGCTAAGGAAACAGAAGTAGTAGTTCAAATCCTTCCTGATGTAGAACCAAGCATACTATAAAGCCCATCCATCTCAGCATGAGAAGGAACAGACAACTTAGAGTGGCAGTCACCTTTTTAGTTTTCCCCTGTCCAGGAGAGTTGTGTGAATCCCAGGGCTCCCAATGCAACATCAATAAAGTATCTCTGCAAAAGGTTTGTGCAGTACATGCTGCCAGAGATCAGAAGCAAATACAGGGTTCCATGTAATAAATGTGCTAATTTCCTTTTAGGAGCAAAGTGCTCTTGAGGGAGCTGTATGCAGGGCTAGCTTGGGGCAAATCAATAACTGTCCTAAGACATTCAACAACTCAGTTTATACTGACTGCCTTCTATCCAAGCCAACTTGTAACAACTCCACCCAGACTTTTTAACTATTTAGCAGCTTCCAGCTTACACTAAAACCAGCTTTGCCAAAAATTAACTTATGGGGATGAGGTAACCCTTCTCTACTTCTAGAACATAAAACATTCAAAATCTATACTTGTCTCAATTTTCCCAGTATCAGATACTGCCTGTTTGGTACAACTAAGACTCCACATACTAATTAGTCCATATACTAATTTTGGTTTTAGGTCAATAAGTCCTTTAAAAAAAAAAAGCTAATTAAGGAACAAATTACTGAGGTTAATAATGTCTACCCTGACAAAGTAATGACCACCGGACAAGAACTATGTCTTATTTATGACACCCCCAAGTCATACTATACTGTTTAACCAATTATTAATTTTTTTTTTTTAAATCAAGCATGGCTCGTGGTCAAGGATTCTATTCTCCAGAGAGAATGAGTTGCAGTATCAGTCAACAATACAGATTCAGAATTTGGGGGCACCATCTTTTTTTTTTTTTTTTTTTAATATTTATTTATTATGTATACACTATTCTGTCTGTCTGCAGGCCAGAAGAGGGCACCAGACCTCATTACAGATGGTTGTGAGCCACCATGTGGTTGCTGGGAATTGAACTCAGGACCTTTGGAAGAGCAGGCAAACCACTGAGCCATCTCTCCAGCCCCCGGGGCACCATCTTTTAAGAGAGTTGTTAATTAATGACAAAGGCGTAAATTTCAAATGGTGAAAATCTAATTCAAACAAATGCATAGAACTCAGGAAGGCAAGACTGGAGAGGGCTCAGTAGTTAAAAGCACTTTCTGCTTGTCCAGAGAAGCCGAGTTCGGTCACTAAAACCCACACCAGGTGGCTCACAACCACCTTAACACCAGTTCCAAGGGGACCCCACATTGCTGGGCTCCTTGGGCACCTGAATTCACTTGCACATACCACCCCCCACTACTGAAAATAAAATAACGGAGCACAAGAGCCTCTTTGTTGCTCCTATCAAAGTCAAGGTCCAAGCCAGGCAAGCTACTTCTCTAGCCCAATCTTCCCAGGTCCTTTCGTGTACCCACTGGAATACACCAATGGGTCAGAACCAGTTTGCTTAAGGATAACAGTTCTGAAGAACCCAGGTAAGATAATTAAAGTTTTAAATAGAAAGTATCAGTTGAGCTTTGCCTTCAAGATCACAGAACTCAACCACATACATTACTATTTCAAGAAACATTTGTATAAATTCCCTGGTATTGTAATAATCGCAAAGACACAACTGCCCACAGACTTCTCAAGACACAGTCCAGCTATTTAAAAAGAAGTGAAGAGGGAACCCCATCTTTAAAGTACATTTTATACCATGTCTCTCGAAGTTATCTCTTGTACTGTCTGCACCATTAGGAGGGGACTAGCAGGGGGAGGGGCTAACATTCTGGAGCCCCAAGCTGAGAGAACAGCAAAGTAACAAGTATCAAAATTATCCACACAATACTGCAACAAATGTAATTTTGAGTTTTAATTATGGTTAGTCATTCAGCTTTGGAATGACTTGGGGAAACAAATTCCACAGGCTGATTCATCATTCTATTACACTTGGCTTTTTATTTGCTCTTAAAGCAACCCTTTAAAATTGAAGCTTGGAGGTTCAAATTAACATAAAGAAATGGTCAGTCGTCTTCAAAGCCTCCGCTAGGGGGAAACGCTTCAATAGTAAAGAGAATCATTTTGAGCTGATACAGAAATCACTGCCAGTAGACTGATGAAGGAAACCCCAAAGCAGCTGCTGATTCCTCTTACCTGGTTGAACTCTTCATCAGCGTATATATCAATCAAGTCCACTCCTTCTGACATGGCTCCGGAAATACGCTCTCGAGCCCGGAGAACGGACAAAGTAAGAAAGATGCCACTACGGTATTCAGAAAAGGGTAAAAAATTTTAAGGCACGAGGGTCCCAGGCTGGGAGGAGGGCAGTGGTCGCCAACCTCTCGTCCCTGGAGAGGCAGCATCCCTGCAGCCAGAGCCCGGCCCCACCCGCTCCGCTCCGCCTCCAGCCTCGCGCCGCCCCCAGCCCTCCCAGGCCGCCCGGGCTCGCGGGGCTCGCTGCCCATCACCCGCGGGCCCGACCCGAGTTGCGCCGACTCGGCGCCCGTAGCTGCCTGTGGCGCCACCGCCAAATAGAGGCCTCGACTCTCGAGAGGGGCCCCGGGCCGTGCTGTGACGAACCATGGCGGCGAAGGCCGCAAGCTCAACCCGCCGCACCTGCTAGGCCTTGGGGGCGGCCGAAGCCGGAGTCCCCCAGCGGGCCCGGAAACTACCGCCGCCTCCACTCCAACCGGGCCCGGTCCTCGCCCTCGGCTGGGCCTACCCGGCTCCCTCCCACAGCTCCAGGATCTCAGCCCCTCCCTCAGAGACCCGCGCTTCCCTCCACCCGCCGCCTTCCGCCGCCACCTCAACCGACCCCCTCCCCGCCGCGGCGCCAGCCCCGGCCCTCCTTCCGGCCCCCGGCCGCGCGCCCCCGTTACCGGGAATATGGCGGCGGCCGCGGAGAGTCCCGACTAGGCCCGAAGCGCGCGAACCGCTCTCCGCCCCAGGTCCCGCCCCCCCCGCCGGCGGCGTCACACGCACCGCTACTTCCGCCATACGCTGGGACGCGTCTTCCGGCTCGAGGGCCACCTCCACTGGTGAAATCCGCAGACTGCCCGCCGGGAGTTCCCGGAAGCTGTAGGGAGTTTCCGGTGCTGTAGGGAGACATGGCGGTGGTCACCTTGATCCCGACGCTGGCGCGGGTGAGATAGCCGAAGATTTAGGGTTCGGGGCGGGCAACAGCTAGGACTGTTTTGTCCTCCTCTGTGTCGTGGAGACTGTAGGAAGAGTTCAACTACCCCACAACCCCTCAAGGGAAAGATTCCCCCCCAGGGCGAGGCGCAAACAGGCGCTGGACATGCTGGTCATTTTCCAGTCTTTGCTGAGCGCACGGTGTGCTCGAGCATAACACTTGGTAATATGTGGTTAAGTTGTCAGTCATCGAGAAAACTCAGATCTTACCTAAGTTCCCAGGCACAGTTACCGAACCGCCTCCAAAAGCCCATTTCTAGCCCCTATTCTTAAACTCTTTAGTGTTTTCTTTCCCTTTTTAGCCAGTCTTAATGTGTTGCTCAGGCTGGCCTCAAATTTGTAATTCTCCTGCCTCATCCTCCCAAGTACTAGGATTATAGGCTTGAATCAACACACACACACACACTTTTTTTCAAAGCTTAACCTTTTGCCGCTATAAATTTACATCTAGGTACTATTTTGGTCTCCATTTTCTTGTATGGTAGGCTTTAATCTGCCTCGAGAGTAAAAAGAAAAGTGTTTTTCATTATTGTAACATTTTGGTTGTTCAAATGTGTGGTTTTAAATATATGTTTGTGAGTTTTCCGGTTTTATTTCAGTGTTGGTGAAAGGTAGTTAGGATTTGTCTTAAATTTGTCAAGACTTGTGACATAACTTGGGAGCTCTTGGGAATGTTCATCCATCCATGCATTTGAGAGAAATGCATGGTCCGTTTTGTAGAATGTCTGTATATCTCAGTAGATAAACTTAGCTTATGTCTGGATGTCCCATCCCTTATTGAAAGTATGGTATTAAAATCTGTCTGTTGCTTTTTTTTCTCCCTTTAGATCTGTCCCTGTTTTATAGATCTGAGTTCTCTAGTGTCAGGTCTACATATAGTTATAATTGTTAGACCTTCTTGCTAACTTTTGGGTTTTTTTTTTTGTTTTGTTTTGTTTTTTGTTTTTCAAGACAGGGTTTCTCTGTAGCTTTGGAGCCTGTCCTGGAACTAGCCCTTGTAGACCAGGTTGACCTCGAACTCACAGAGATCCGCCTGCCTCTGCCTCCCGAGTGCTGGGATTAAAAGGCTGCACCACCACTGCCCGGCCTTGCTAACCCTTAATACTATATAGTGTTCTTCATCTCGTGTGACAGTTTTGTTTTTTGTGCTAAGCCCCAAACCCAGGGTCTCGGCATGTAGGGAATCTCTTTTTCTTTCCTTCCTTCCTTCCTTCCTTCCTTCCTTCCTTCCTTCCTTCCTTCCTTCCTTCCTTTCTTTCCTTCTTTCCTTCCATTCTCTCTCTTTCTCTTTTAGATTAAAAATATATGTATGTGTTTTCATAAGTTTATGTCTACTAAGTGTCCAGGTGCCCATGAAGGCCAGAGGAGGGTGTTGGATTTTCTGAAATTGGAGTTACAGGTGGGTATGAGACACCTGCTGTGGATGTTGGGAACCAAACCCCAGTCCTACATAAGAGCAGTAAATGCTCTTAACTGCTAAACTATCTTTGTAGCCTCAGCAATCTCATTTTCTTTTGAGTCTCTTCTATAGGAGTTTTCATTGTGGTACGATGGGGCTTACCTAGAATATTTTCTAAGTTATTAAACTGATAATTTTAACTGCATACAAAAGCTTCTCTCTTTTACTCCTTGTGTATGGGGTATTGATGTCAGAGTGTGCTTTTATTTGAAGATTTTTTTTTTTAAAGTTTGTGTGTGGGGCTGGAGAGATGGCTCAGTGGTTAAGAGCGCTGCCTGCTCTTCCAAAGGTCCTGAGTTCAATTCCCAGCAACCACATGGTGGCTCACAACCATCTGCAATGAGGTCTGGTGCCCTCTTCTGGCCTGCAGATATACACACAGACAGAATATTGTATACATAATAAATAAATATTAAAAAAAAATAAAGTTTGTGTGTGTGTACTCACACACTTGTGAGTATGACTACCCACTGAAGCTGAAGAGATTGTTGGATCTCTGGAGCTAAAGTTATATGTGAGGAGAGCGTGGCCTTGTATAGCTGGTTAGTTTTAGAGACTTCCTGAAACCTTTGAGTTGTTTACTTCCTGAGCTTAAGGAGCATCCCTGTAGGACAGGATATATTACCTTGCTTTAGAACATTCTGTGTCTTGGCTGGGTGTGGTAGCATAAGGCAGAAACTGGAGGGTCTCTGAGTTCATCTGATCTAGATGTCAAGTTCCAGGCAAGCTAGGTCTACTTAGTGATGATGATCATGATCATGATCCAGGCCATCTAGGATTACATAGTAATGATGGTGGTGATAATGATGATGGTGATGGTGGTGATGTTGATGATGATCCAGGCCAGCTAGAACTACATAGTGATGATGTAGTGGTGATGATGATCCAGGCTGGCTAGGACTACATAGTGATAATGATAAAGAAGAAGGAGGAGAAGAAAAGAAGAGAAAGAAAACAACAGCAACATTCTGTGTTTTAATGAGCTTCCCTTCAAAATTGGAGGTTTTATCATAGGGGAGATTGCTATACAACACTTTTCATGCATGAAAGTCCTGAGTTTGCCATGTGCTTCTAATTCTAGCACTGTGAAATTGGTGGCAAGAGGATGAGAAATTTAAGGTTCTTTAGTAAGTTCAAGGCCAGCCTAGTGTGCTGCTATGATGAGATGGGAGGTAGAGATGAGATAATCCCTGGAAGCTCACAAGCCAGCTAGCTGGCACACACAATAGAAAACAACAAAGAAAACTCTCAAAACAAGGTAGAAGGTGAAGACTGACACCTGAGATGTTCCTCTGACCTCTACACATGCACCTACATTTGCACACAAAAATTTTTTAATGTGTTTTCTTTTTTAAAACTTACGTATATAAATGTTCTAGATGGAGGTACAACTTTATGCCAGAAGAGGTTATCAGATCCCACTATAAATGGTTGTGAGCCACCATGTGTTTCTGGGAATTGAACTCAGGACTCAGCCAATCTTCTTAACCGCTGAGCCATCTCTCCAGCCCCTAAAATGTATTTTCAAGTGCCTTTTCCTAGAGATGCTGGCCTAGAATGCTTAGGTTGTGGCATAGGAAACTGAGCTTTCAAAGCATGCTGTATTCATTTACTGGAGCTACCTTACAACAGAAATGTCTGTTTTCAAAGTTCTGGAGACTGGAGTCTAGGGTGAAGATGATAGCACAGCTATTCTATTCTCTCTCGTGGTCTCACGCCATGGCTTGCAGATAGCCACTTTTCCATTGTGCCCTCACATGGCCTTACTTTATACATGTACATTTCTGATTTGCTGAACAATTTATGCCTTGGTATGGACTTCCTTAGGTTCATGATACTTGAGGTCTCTTGAACTTCCCAAATTTGAATGTCCATTTCTTTTTCCAAAGTTTGGAAGTTCTTTCTTTCTTTCTTTCTTTCTTTCTTTCTTTCTTTCTTTCTTTCTTTCTTTCTAAATATCGTGTGTGTGTGTGTGTGTGTGTGTGTGTCTGTCTGTCTGTCTGTCTGTCTCTGCCTCTCTGTGAATGTATATGTCTGTCTTCTGTGTGTATGTGCTCTGGGGTTAGAACTCAGGTCCTCATGCTTAGCAACAAGCACCTTTGCCTTCCTCTGTCATTCATAATCAGCAGCTTTCCGTAGTGTCTGTGATTCTATAGTTTCTTTGTAACCACTGTAAGTTGCTCAAAGCCTCTTCCTCCTTTCCTCGCCTTCTCTGTTTTGTATGGTACTATAGTCCCTCAGCTTCATAGTAGCCCTGCTCTACCCTCTCAAGTGCTGGAATTAGAGGCATGAGGCACTATACCTAGCTAGTTGTTCTGCTCTCTTATGCTCAGTGGCTGCTGGACTTCTAGAGTTTGCTGGTTCTATTAGTGTTGTAAGTTGTTCAAAATAGAAACCAACCAGTCCCTTGAGGAATATCAACCCCCATGCTCTAGCACATTAGCCATATGCTCCACTATTCCCTGAGCCCTGGGGAAGAGGCTCCCAAACAATACTAGATTTTTGTCTGCTATGTAAGATTTCCTCTGCACCAAAAGTAAGCAGCTCAGCTCTCTTGGTCTCCATGGTCCCTAAGTGTCTTGAATGGGTTGTGCTCTGAGGCAAGAGAAACAAAAAACCAGCCCCATAGGCAGCCCCTGAGACACTGGAGCATTAGATGGCCACCCCAGCTCTGCTTCCCCAGGAAAAGCTGGGAGTTGTGATTTTTTTTTTTCATTCTACAGTAAGGCAGGAATGGGGAGCATGGCAAGAGAATGCTGCTGGTGTTAACCATCACCTTTGTTTGCTACAGCTTCCAGCCAGGTGCCCCTTCCTATAGCACTTAGATTCAGCTTGTTTGGATACCATCTAGGAGTCTTACCTTTCCCTCCTAGGTAGAAGTCTGGTGTTGGAATATTCTCCCTATCATCTTGTGCTTGGATGGTGGTATGGGGGAAGTCTTGGGGAAAACAGGATTTAGCACGAATAATAAAAACCCAGAGACATATTGGGGTTCAACCTGAAGATCAGAAAAGCAAAGCAGCCAGCCACTGGCTTTTACCTCTACCTTAGACCAAAAATGGGTGAGATCCTATCTCTAAGCATCCTAAAGACTCCATACTCCACTGAGTTCCTATCTCTTCCCCTTTTTATTTCTCTCTCTGTCCAGCCTTATTGCTCCTGTCTCCACCTCTCTAGTGCTGGGATTCAAGATCACCTTTGTGTGAATTCTGTTTTCCTTTTAGACAGATTCAATTTTGTATAACCCAAGGTGGCCTTGAACACGAGATCTGTCTACCTCTGTCTCCTGAGTCCAGGGATTAAAGGTGTGTGCCACCACTCATGGCCTATATGGCTGACTAGAATGGCTGCTTTGCTGTCTGATCTTTAGGCATGCTTTATTTATTAAAACACAAATAATATACCACTATAACAGGATTATGGCATGTTTAGTCTGCAACTTTCCTGTTGGCAGCTGATTTTGTACTCATCTGGGGAGCAGGAGCCTATTTCCCAGACTTCTTATAGAGGGAATAGATTTGTGAATTGTTGAGTCAGTATCTCTATTGAAGGGTTTGGTGTCAAGGAGGATGTGAGTCTTCCTATTCTGCCTTCTTGCTAACATTACCATGCTGTGGGATAATACTCTTGTACAGTGTAAGGACTTGTCACTCGTATTAGTTTAATGAAATGCTGATTGGCCAGTAGCCAGGCAGGAAGTTTAGGTGGGCAACCAGACTAATAATTCTGGGAAGAGGAAAGGTAGAGATGCAGTTATCAGCCAGACACAGAGGAAGCAAGATGAGAATGCCTTACTGAGAAAAGGAACCAAGTAACATAGCTAAACATAGACAAGAATTACAGGTTAACATAAATTGCAAGAGCTTGTTAATAATAAACCTGAGCTAATAGGCCCAACAGTTTATTATTAATATAAGCCTCTGTGTGTTTCTTTGGGACTGAACGAGTGTAGGACCAGGTGGGACAGAAATTTCTGTCTACATTACCACCTTACCATTGTGTCTTTTTTAAGAAATTGTGTATGTGTGTGATATAATTGTGTGTATGTGAGAGAAGAAAGAGAAGAGAGGAGAGTGCTTGCCAGACTTTATGTGTGAAAGCCAGAAGTCAACTTCAGGTGTCGTCCTCTATTTTCACTTTATTTCTCTCTGTTTTGGCTAGACTCCCTGACCAATAAGTTGTTATGATCTACCTGTACTGGGGTTACAGCTGAAGGATGTCATTCTTGGCCATGCTTGGCTCTTACATGGTCTGCACTCAGCTCCTCATGCTTGCACAGAAAGCACTTTACTTACTGAGCCATCATCCCACCCTTCTCATTATGTTTTAGAGTTTATGCCCTTCTTAGGTCTGGAGTCTTTAGAGATCTAGGTATCCTCAGGGTTTAACAGGTGAGTAACTGGGACACAAATATACAGTTTTAAAGGAACGCAAAAGGAGACATGCTTCTGCTGGAATAATTTCTGGAAAGATTCATTAAGAATACTTCTGGAATATTTATTCTGTCTTGTAGAGTGAGGTGTTGCTCAATTTATGAACATGTGTCTGTGGTTCTATTTCAGAGACTATCCCCTCTAAGTCTTAGATTCATTGGTTTCTGTTCCCTTGGCTATAAAGGGACCAGAATCAACAGAAGGACTAAGTGAAATCTAATGCATTTAGCACCTTATGTGTTGAATAAATAGCAGTAATAGTTACCATTGTCTTATAAAGATGTTTGTGGTTTGTTTCAGGTGCTGTCAAAGCAGAGCCTGCTGTCTCCTTTGTTCAGTGTGACATCATTCAGACGATTCTACAGAGGTGACAGCCCAACAGATTCTCAAAAAGACATGATTGAAATCCCTTTGCCTCCATGGCAGGAGAGAACTGATGAATCCATAGAAACCAAAAGAGCCCGCCTGCTCTATGAGAGCAGAAAGAGGGGGATGCTGGAGAACTGCATTCTTCTTAGGTAGTGGGGAAGAGGACTCAGGGTGTCACTTCTCTTTATTAAGGCAGTCTTGTCAGCCTCATTTTCCTTTTAATTTTTAGCCTCTTTGCTAAAGAATATCTGCACAACATGACAGAGAAGCAGCTGAACCTCTATGATCGCCTGATTAACGAGCCTAGCAATGACTGGGATATTTACTACTGGGCCACAGGTATTCCATATGATAAACTGCATTTCATGATGATAGGAGAATACACCAATTTGAGTCTGAAATAGTATCTTTGCAATCCTTTTTTTTTTTTTTTGAGACAGCATTGTTCTGTGTAGCCCTGACTGTCCTGAAATTCTCTATGTAGACCAGGTTTGCTTTGAACTCACAGAGATCTGCCCGCCTCTGCCTCCTGAATGCTGGGATTACATGTGCCATAAAGTCAGGCCCTGTTTTCATCATTTTTATTTATGTAATAGACACTAAACCTAAACACTGTTCAAAAATTTCCAGAATGTACAAAATTTGTTTAATCAGTTGTTTCTTTAAACATTTTTTCTTTTACTTATTTATTTTGTGTGCATGTGTAAGCAAGCATACATGTGATGTGGGAGTCTTCTGTTTTGTGTTGATTTCATTGGTTAAATAAAGAAACTGCCTTGGCCCTTTGATAGGACAGAAAATTAGGTAGGTGGAGTAAACAAAACAGAATGCTGGGAGAAAGAAGCTGAGTCAAGCAGTTGCCATGATTCTCCCACCCTACACAGACGCAGGTTAAGATCTTACTGGTAAGCTACCACCTTGTGGTGTTACACAGATTATTAGAAATGGGTTAATCTAGATGTGAGAGCTAGCCAATAAGAGGCTAGAGCTAATGGGCCAAGCAGTGTTCAAAAGAATACAGTTTCCGTGTAATTATTTCAGGTGTAGAGCTAGCTGAGTGGCGGGATGCAGCCCGCTGCTCCTCACTACATACATGTGCATGTGTATTAAGGTCAGAGACAACTTAGTTTTCTCTTTTCACCTTGTGAGTTCCAGGGATTGAACTAAGGTCATCGAGCTTTGCAGCAAATGCCTTTCCTGCCCTCAGTTCAGCTTTTTGTGAGACAGATGGAGTACACTCTGACTTAGGTGAAAGGGGAATATAGTAAAGCTTATAAAACTCACAGGATCAAAGGAAAGACCGAAGAATAGGTTGGAAACGGGGTGAAATGTCCTGGGTTGTTTCCTGTAGGACAAGCCAGTTCAGTTGAGAGACAAGGCATCAAAGTAAAGGCAGCAATATTTTTGGGTTGTTTTGTCTTTTGATAAAGGATCTCACTGTATGGCCCAGGCTGGTTTGGAACTTGCTATCCAGACCAAACTGGCCTCAAACTCACAGGGATCTACCTGCTTTTGCCCCTGTGTGCTGAGATTAATGGCCAGGCACTTGCTTTGTTTTGAGTCAGCGACTCACTATGTAGCCCAGTCTGGCTTTGAACTCATGATCCTTCCACCCCAGCCTCCTCAAGGCTGAGTTTACAGAGTGTTGGGAATACAGACATGTGCCACCATTCCTAGTCAGGATGATGACGTTTTATTTAAAAAGTCAGCTCAATTAAAAGATGAAGGGCTCTTGTCCAAAATCCACCTTAATCCTGGGGTGGGGTGGTGAGGGCTCTTGTAAAAGGGAAAGTTTAAGGAAGTAGAAACAGAGACTGCAAATGGATCAAGCATTTTTGAATTGCAGGCCACAGACATAATGAAGATTGGCTTTCTCAGGGTAATGCTCATATGGGGAAGCTAGGGTGTGGTTTTCTGGGGCACTCAGAGCCCCCCCCCTTGTGGTACCCTCACTGCACAGCACAGCTGAGCTTGGACTTCTCGTTCCTCTTTCATGAGTTTTTCCTCTTATAATAAATAAAAATATAATTGTTTTTCTTTTAGCTAGTCTGGTTATTTCCCGAATCGTGCTAACTTCTACAGTTGGCGCCCCGATTCGTGGGGCTCAGATCTCCAGTGGCTCTAGCCAGCCACCATCAGGCTCCATGCCATTCATTTGGGTATAGAATTCCCGTGCCACGGTCCTTCATATTTTCTCATTAGACGTCTCAGAGAGCCTTGGCTACCTGCCACTGCCCGGCTGGCTTCTGGGTCCAGTATGGGTCGTGGGCTTCCCTACTTTCTTGCTCTCTTTGTGCTCGGGCAGCTGTGGACCAATCAGTTTTCTGTGACTTAACAGTTTCTTGTTAGTGTAATGGCCATGGTAATCTATATATTAACAGACTGCCTGCTCATAACTTTGTGTAACTCCAACTCCAGGAGAATCCAACACCTCTGGCCTTTTATGGGGATGGCACTCATGTACACACACACAATTACAATTAAAGATAAAGTAAGTCTTTTTTCAAAAATAGGAGTCTAGATGCTTAATTGGTTATTTGAAAACCCAGCAAATCTTAAATATTTGCTATCTAGCCTTATTAGGACAAGTTTGGTGCAGACTTATAAGACATTTGAGATTGACCTTTGTTGCTTATGTCAGTAGTTCATTCTTTTGTTTGTTGAATAATATTTCAGTGTGTGGATTATACCATACTTTATTTATTGACCAGTAGAGGGATTTTAGCATTTTTCACTTGTAGACAATAATGACCAAAGCCACTGTAAACATTTGTGTACAGATTTTATGAAAATAGATTGCAGGTTTTCTTGGATAAATACCCAGAAGAATCATTGGATTGTGGGTGTGTATACCTTTATACCATACTTTATCTGAATGAGCCAGACAGTAAATATTTTAGGTACTGCAAGCCATATGGTCTCTCATAACTCTGTAACTGTAGTTTGCAACTATAATGTGTAATCAACCACAGTTAGCAGGTCTACAAATGAGTGTGCCTATGTCTCATGAACATTGGATTTGAACTTCATATACTTGCAATCATGAAGTATTATTCTTTTGGATTTCCCCCCTTCAACTTTTTAAAAATCAGTCTTGCTTGACATGGTGGTGCACAGCTTTAATCCCAGTCCTTGGGAGGCAGGGGCAGGTTGATCTCTGAGTTTGAGTCCAGCTAACGCTACATAATGAGACCTTGTTTCAAAACAGAAAATAAAAAAAGTCTTTCTTTGCATATGAGCCATTATATAAATAGACAACTGGCCATAGTTTCCACTGTTTATGCTAAGATCCAAAGAATACCTTCTATGTGCTTATATTTAGGAAAAACAAAACAACAGGGACAATAGCTATTTACCAGTGATTGCCAGGGACAAATTATGAAGAGACACTTAGTGTCTTGGGGTTTTTCTTGCTGTGAAGAGACACCATGACCACAGTAACTCTTTTTTAAGGTAGTTATTTTTATTTTATGTGCATTGGTGTTTTGTTTGCATGTATGTCTATGTGAGGGTGTCAGATCTTGGAGTTACAAACAGCTGTGAGCTGCCATGTGGGCACTGGAAATTGAACCCAGGTCCTCTGGAATAACAGTCAATGCTCTCAATTGTTGAGGCATCTCTCCAGCCCTACAGCAGCTCTTTTTGGTTTTTCAAGACAGGGTTTCTCTGTGTAGCTCTGGCTGTCCTGGAATTCACTCTGTAGACCAGTCTGGCCTTGAACTCACAGAGATCTGCCTGCCTCTGCCTCCCGAGTGCTGGGATTAAAGGTGTATGCCACCACTGCCCAACTTCACAGCAACTATTATAAATGAAAACATTCAATTGTGGTGGCTCACCGACAGTTTCAGAGGTTCAGTCCTTTTATCATGACAGTGGGGAGCATGGTGGCATGCAGGCAGACATGGTGCTGGAGAAGTAGCTTAGAATCCTACATCTTGCAGGCATTAGGGAGTCAACTGAGACACTGCACAGTATCCTGAGCATAAGAAACCTCAACACGAGCACGAGCAAGGAACTCAGGACCGCGAGGGGTGCACCCACACACTGAGACAATGGGGATGTTCTATTAGGAACTCACCAAGGCCAGCTGGCCTGGGTCTGAAAAAGCCTGGGTTAAAACTTGTCTTGCTGAACATAGCGGACAATGAGGACTACTGAGAACTCAAGAACAATGGCAATGGGTTTTTGATCCTACTGCATGTATTGGCTTTGTGGGAGCCTAGGCAATTTGGATTGCCTTACTAGACCTGGATGGAGGTGGGTGGTCCTTGGACTTCCCACAGGGCAGGGAACCCTGATTGCTCTTTGGGCTGACGAGGAAGGGGGACTTGATTGGGGGAGGGGGAAGGAAGTGGGAAGCGGTGGCGGGGAAGAGACAGAAATCTTTAATTAATAAATAAATAAATAAAATAAATAGATAAAAAAAAAGAAACCTCAACGCTCGCCACCTATGGTGACACTTCCTCCAGCAAGGCCATACCCACTCCCACAAAGCCATACCTCCTAATAGTACCACTCCCTATGAACTATAGGGGCCAATTACAGTCACTTGGTATTGTCAACATGACAGCCATGTTGGTGAGACTTCATGGGTATATTTTGACATTGCTAGGAGATTCATTGCTAGCAAATTCATTGTTCCTCTGGCTCTTGCAATCTTTATGCCCCCTCTTTCACAGTGTCCCTAAATTTTAGGTGCAGGTGCAGGAGTTGTGTTGTAGTTGGCATTGAGCTCCACAATTTCATTTTGATCAGTTGTGGTTTTTGTAATGGTCTCTGTTGCAAAGGAGAAATTTTTTTGGTGGAGGGTGAGAACTGCTCTTTCTGTGGGCCTAAGGACAGATATTGGGATTATGCTAGTGTAGTGAAGTGACAATTGTAGGTTCTCCTTCAAATGATTTCACTACCCCTGGGTAGTTGGCTAGGTTTCCAGTACCAGACATGGTTTCCCTCTTACTAAGCAGGTCTTAATTCCAATTAGAGAACTCTTAGTTACTGCTATGGTATGAGTACCAATTATTGCACCCTAATAGTTAATCATGCCATGCTGGTTGTTGTGGTTCAAAGATATAGATGGGTAGGACTGTTGGTTGCCTCCATTCTTTTAAATCTTGAATAGTGATGTCTTAGTTAGGTTTTCTATTGCTGTGAAGAGATACCATGACCATGGTAACTTTTATAAAAGGACACATTTAATTGGGGTGGCTTGCATTCTTCAGTCCATTGTCATCACGATGGGACATGGCAGTGTGTAGGCTGATTGGTGCTGGAGAAGCAGGTGAGAGACCTACATCTTGTATGGCAACAGGAAGTGGTCTGTCTCATTGGGTGTGTCTTGA